AGTTTGTTCCATTTATAATGACAATTTACTAAATCATGGGCTGTCTCCCCGTGGGCACCTAGTTTACACCTCTCCCCCTAGATTCAATAGGTTTCACAAAGAAAGGGGGGATATAAGGGTTTATGGAGGGGTGTGAATGACCGTCCAAAGAGATATATTAAAAATTATCAAAATGTATTTTGTTTTAAATATTGTTAAAAATGATACATTCATAAGTCAAAACAAAACAAAACATATCACTGCATAGGATATGTTTGTATGTTCACTGATACAATATATGGCTCTAAATATCCAAGTATTCATACAAATCATGATCTTATTCACATATTTTCCAAAAAAATATTTTTTTTTTGTATATAATAGTATTGTTCTTAACGTGGCTTATCTTAATAGGCCCCGATGTGTTTTGCCACTGGCTTCATCAGGGGACCCACTGGAGATGGATCTAGCAGTAAGAAAATTGTCTTTATTTAGACATACATCAGATTGATAAAACATCTACATCTATAATTTATGCAATGTCATATATGTATAAGTAGCCCATTTTAGAACATTTATAATGACACTATAATTGCGTTTCTGGTACAAAATTCAGCAAAGATATTAACATTTTTTATTTTATTTGCAATTTTGAACATTTTTTTAATACAATACTAGGAAATCTAATGAACAAAACTAATAACAATGAATGATAAGTTAAAATATTGCTAGCTTAAAAGGAAGAAAAAAAATAGCTAAGGGGATAAGGGAGAAAGGAGTTAATTAGAGTTTATTAAGGGATAATAAGGGCTAAAAAGGAACACATTTATAAAAAATAAAACTTTTCAGATCAATATTTTAAAAGCTTCTACCTGCTTTATTTTAAGGTGTTCATTGCTAAATCCTGAATCCTTATTATACATTTTAAATATTACTAAATTAGATCTCCTATATACAAGGATTTCAGCTAGAAACATTTCGTGCAAACCTTTAATTTTGATACAGAGAGCAAAGTTTACCTGACAGCATGTCACTCGGTTAGTAGATCACCAATATATTCCTATGTGATGAAGAAATATATATATAGAGGATCTAAGGCCTAAGGGAGGACAGAATAGTCACCTCATGGGGAATTAGGATACAGAATAAAAATTGCCGGAATTAATGAGTTCATTGGAGGATTAAACAAGTAACAGAAAGTTTGTAGTTTAAGTGATACATTTTATTGGCAAACTTAAGATAACTGATTAAATTGTTGAATTAATTTAATTGCTTAATTTAAGAGATAGAAGCTTTTGTTAGCTTCAGTTAGCCAATAAAAAGTTTCACTTAACTTTTCATTAAAGTTGGGAACGATGGTTAAGGAAACCATATTGTATGTTGTGACTGACTGAATAATATTGCAAATTTGGATCTTTCTTTTCTCTCTGTCCACACCTCATCCGCTCTTCTTCCTATTCATTTTCCTCCCCTCCTTTTTTTCTCTTTCTTTGCTTCTTCCCCTCCCCTTTATACGAAGTGCCTGACAATGTTTATATGTAATTATAATCTATGTATACCTACTTTGTTATTTATCCATCCTTGTAACATTGCTATTCCATCTTCTCGTTCATCAATGTTCACTGATGCATAACCTTCTACTATGTATAATAATGTACGCTCATGTTTATATACATACTTTGAGCCCTGTTCTATACTCAATTGTGTTGTTGAGCGCTTTGTAATACTTTAAACTTTAATAAAGACATATTGTTTAAAAAAAAAAAAAAAAAGTTTCATGTAACCACTTGCTGTCCGAAGCAATTTCTTACTATTTGCACACACATGATGAAATCAGAATTTTTGTCTAAAAAACAGCTTAAAACCCCCAAACAATGATATATCGATATATATTCTGAAAGCAGAGGCCCTGTAGAATAAAAAGATGCTAGTTGCAATTTTTTATGTCGCACTGTATTTGCGCAAATATTTATCAAACCAGTATTTTTGGGCTAAAATACACCAAAATGAAATTTTTATGCACAGAATATAACAGACAATTTTTTGGTAAAATATAAAAGACGGGGTCACGTTGGGTAAATAGATACCAAACATGTCAAGCCTGCAAAAAACTACCATACCCCAAATTTCTAACAGGCAACACTTTTATTGCTCATCCGTTTAGTGTTAACAGTGATTGAAGGCCCCAGAATTATTGCTCTCATTCCGACGTTCACGGCAATGATATGTAACATGTGCGGCACAATTTGCTTTTGCACGTAGACACACCAGATGCGTGTTTGCGCTTGTATTTGCGTGCGCGTAGGGGCGAGGGACTTTAAAAAAATTGTTTGCATTTCTAAATTTTATATGTGACTTTCCTTTTTGATGTATTTTTTTGTTTTTCTTTTACACTTAACTTTATTGCTATGATGTTTTGGTGTTATAGAAGGCAGAAGTAACCTGCAAATTGTTCCAAATAATATGCATGTATCTATTTGGGTACTGTATCCCAGGAACCTGATTCACACACTGTGTGTGTTCAAGATTGCATTATGCCCTTCATGACCTGCAGAATGTGGTCCCATGGTATGAAAGAGAATAGAAAATGTATTCCATAGCCTTCTGCTTCTCATGCATATAATGAATGGGTTATTGAGTGATAGTCAATCGTTCATTCAAGTTCAAGTGAAGCCAGCTTCCTAGCCAATCAGGAAGTCGGGAGATGGGTCACAACGTGCCGCCCGGCTTCCTGATTGGTCAGGAAGTCAGGCTGCCTTGCTTACCGATGAGTGAAGCTGGCTTCCTGATTGGTCACGAAGCCAGGCTGCCTAGCAAAAAATTAAGCCGGCTTCCTAGGCAATCAGGAAGCCGGTAGGTGGGTCATGATTGGCTTTCTGTTTGGCCGGGAAGCCAGCTCCATGATCTCTCCCTTCTAGTATTGGGGGTAAGTATCGGAGCATTTGGGTAAGTGCTCTCCCAAATACTTGGTATCAGCACCGATACCGATAGCGGTATCGGTGCATCTCTACTTGCAACAAACTGGGAGAGTGGAATTACCCTTTAAGAGCCAAAGAAGTTGGTTTATCAAAGGCAAATAGGCTGCTCACTTTTTGATTTTATTGATTTAAAAAAAACACAAAGAGAGTGTACAAAAATTATTATAAAGTACAGTGCTAGTTGAGAACAAAAATGTTTAAACAGACTTATGCAGATATAAGTGTCAGAGTGTTACAATTACAGCTCTTGTACATTTAGGAGTTTTAGAATATTTTTAGAATATTTTAGAATATTGCCAGAGAGCCCTGCCAAAATAGTAATCTACACATGTCATCAAGAAAGTACATCCCTTCCTGAGCAAGCTGTAAATAGATTCTCCTGGATTTGTCAGGAGGTTTCATTGACCAACTGGAGATACTACCCTATTACCACCCTTGGAGGACCTTGCAAGCTCTGCCACCCTTGAAGGGGTAACCTAATGTGTTCATGGACTGTTTCAGGAGATCTCAGTCCACCACATCAAAGGTTTAACTGGACATTACCATGAATGAAAGTTAATAGATGAACATTAACTATTCTGTTCAGCCTGCGGATTACAAATTGAGTCAGCTTAGGTTTGACCATTTGTGGCCTCTCTAACTCAAAGATGGGTTTTCAAGATTCCTCAAACACGTTTTTTTTTGTCTATGTTCTTCTTTTGTGTCCTTCAGGTGCAGAGAACAAGTCATCTACATTAATGGACTTGTGCATATGTTATAGACATGTGCACTGCCAAACAATTCGTTTCGTTTCGTTTTAAATTCGGATTTGTGTTATTTCATTTTTCAGGATTCGGGTGTGAAAGTCAATTCGGATTTGGAATTCGGAATCGGACGAAATTCGGTAGCGTTAGTACGAACGTTCGTTTCCTGTTCTTATTTGTTTGTTCGTTTGCAGCAAAAGTGACATTTGAGGGGGAAAAATATTTTTCTCCTTCTCTAATGTCACTTTGCTCCAACGAACGAAACGAATAAGAAACGAATAAGAAACGAAACGAACGTTCGTACTAACGCTACCGAATTTCGGAAATGGAAATTCGGATTCGTTTGCATTCGTTATGTCTGTAATTCGGAATTCGGATACATCCGAATGTCCGAATTTCCGAAAATTCGTCCGAATTTCGATTCGGAACGAAACGAATCGCACATGTCTAATATGTTATGTTATAATGAAATCTAAAGATTGCAGGTAGGGAGTGTTGTGTGCCATCTGCATGCATTTTGCTGCTGTTGCCATTATATTATACTGCTATTATATTGCTATTTATTGTTGCTTATTATTGCATTTCTGAAGCATATCTGACATCTGGCTGTAAGTCAGCACTACGGCCAATTGTTATTATGTGTACTTGGTATGTCCTTTTGTTCCCCCTCTTGTTTAGAGCTAGTCAGTACAGTCTCACATAGACTGTTAGTCCTAAGTCTTCATAGCAGACAGATCAGAAGGCTGAGAAGATCATTGTCTTTTCACACTTCAAATGTAGGTAGATAGAAAGTTCCTCCGCACTCCTCACAACGTTCCCGGCCTATGCAACAGTGGTGTTTGCAGTGATGACCACAGATGGCGCCGTGCAGACACAAGGCAGAAGACAGGAATCACCAGCACTCAGGGTGAAAAGATGTGACCTTTTCGCCCTGATGAAGGGACCCTCTGTGGCCCCGAAACTTTGGCTTTTTTCATTGTGACGATTTGTCCAAATAAATGGACATATTGAATGATATTAGTGAGTGCTGGTGATTCCTGTCGGTGTCCTATTGGAGAGTTAAGCTGTCTTTGGATTGTGCTGAATCAGCAGACGACCATACTGTCTGGACAGATTGAAACCTATGGAGGTATGTCAGTGCATAAAGCGGCATTTGAAACAGAACCGCCAGGGCAAGCACAGAGACAGACTTTATTGCATGTTTTGCATGGCTCTGAATATATTGGATCCGAGGGGATCATGCTTTTTCACAGTTCAGTTGTCTGTCTCCCAATGTGCTGTTAAATTTTTCACATTTCTTTCATTTCTTTTTCACAAAGAAGATGTCTGTCCTTGCTAGATTAGTCGTGGCTTTTAAAATATCTTTGTTCCTCAAAGTGTAGACAAATGGGTTGAGCATTGGCACTACAGCCGTATACAGCAAGGCCAGCAACTTGTCCTGTTCCTTGGAATTTTCAGACTCTGGTTTGGTATACAATATAAGGACTGGACCAAAGAATATTATCACTGTGGTGAGGTGGGAGGAGCAGCTAGAAAAAGCTTTGCGTCGCCCCTCGGAGGACTGAATATTCAGTATAGCGAAGATGATGAACGCATAGGAGGTTATAATAAGTAAAAAAGGTAAAGATGCCACATACATGTCCTGAAATACTAGAAGTATGTTTTGGCTTGTAGTATCGCTGGAGGTGACTGCATACAATGTCCTCTGCTCACAAAAGAAATGGTCAACACTTTGTGCGGGACAGAAGGACAACAGAGATGTAACTAACACATTTAGTGCTGCATTGACAGCAGATATAAGCCAGGGACACAGAGCCAGTAAACTGCATACATCTTTACTTATGATCAAGGAATATTGTAATGGCTTACAGATTGCTACGTATCGGTCATAGGACATGGAGGTCAACACAAAAATGTCACCCGCAGCCGCCAATGAGAAGAAGTACACCTGAGCCATACACGCCGAGAAAGACATCCGGTTGTCCTGTGTTAGGAGTATGGAGAGCAGTTTTGGCAATGTAACTGAAACATACATAACATCTGTAATAGCAAGATTGCTCAGGAGGATATACATTGGGGTATGGAATTGAGGAACCAGACACACCAGTGTAACAATCATCATGTTTCCAAGAACAGTCGTCACATACATCAGTAGAACTCCAGTGAAAAGGAGACATTGTCCAGTATCAGAGATGGAAAATGCTAAAATGTGGAAAACAGTTCCTGTCCTGTTCGAGCATTCTTCCATCTTGCCTGCTTGTAGGAAGCTATTTCATAATTATATTATGAGGTTAAAGAAAATACCCCTAAAAAATACAACATAAATGTGTTTACATTTACCATTATTGATTCACAAATATATTTAAAGTGTATGTCAAGCCGAAAAACGTTTGGGGTAGTTTTGGATAGAGTGGGGGAATATTAGAAACTAAAATTAGTATTTTATTGCTATTTGGGGCTCTGTTGTAGAGATTGACTTCCTGTCTTGCTTACAACAGTTTCACCACACTAGAGATGAGGGAAAATCTGCTTCACAGAAAATAAAATCTGACAGAGGTTCTAGCCCTCCCATCATGTACTACAGAAAAGCATTTTATTTCTGTCTATGTTGCTGTTGGAGATTTTTCCTTACCTTCTTTCAGCCAAAGCAGATCCCAGGACAACATTTCATGGTCAACGTTTTGATGGAACTCTTGATCAAGATGGGACTGAGCTCAATCGAAATGTTGACAATAAAATGCTGTTGATTGGACTTATTTTTGCTGCAAGACCCATGAGTCATGAGTGAAACAATTTTTTTCTATTCTCCCCATAAATGTTGCCCGATGTCCACCTTGTTTCATATGTGTAATGACACCCAGCATCATTCAACTCTCTTCCTGTGAGCTCTGGTGGTTGTCGAGCCATCACAGAAGCCTGGGCTGACCGAACAATACTGCAAAAGAACTGCAATGACTTCACAATGTGAGCCTTGTTCTCTGCGGCATTGGAGAGGAAGAAGATCCCAAGATGGGACAGTGAGGGTGGGGATCCTGGAGTTGGCTTTAAAGAACCAAATGTTCTATGGCTTATTAATCAATTCTATCATACATAATGTGCCTTGTACAGTTGATGTTTCCATGTACAGCTAGCATATGTTGTCTGTGATCATTAACAGTGTTATTCAGAAAAGGGTGAAGAGTTTGTAGAAGGGAGGAGAAGTGAAAAGTCTGGGGCAACATAGCTGAACCGTAAAGTGAGCTGAATTGCAGAATTTTTCTAAATCAGCTATGTTGACCTAGTTTGCTCACTTCACCCTTTTGTGAATAACCCTGTGAGAGTGTAGAAATGGATAGTTAGTGCTGACAGTAGCCTCAAAAGCAGAACCTATGCAACAATTTTAATCTTGGGATCTGAATTTCATACCCCACATATACCTTCTGAAATCATAATGGTGTTCATCTGACCGGTGACTGTAAGATAATATGAGGATTGAAGTTCTACCTTCTTTGTCACCCCTTCTCCGCCAACTTGCTGATGAGGTCATCCCTTTGCTCTTCCCTCTTGTAAGCAAGCTCTATTGTAAGTGTCACGGTCTGGGAACCGAGGCAGTGGGGCACAAGAGCTCCGGTTCTTACGGAGCAGCTTAGAGTAGCGAGCTGAAGTGAAGCCCGTGGTGCAGGGCTGAGGACTCAGTAACTAGGAGTCTGTGCACTTAGGGACCACTGGGTTCCGAAACGTTGCTTTGACATGTTACACTACCATAGCCAATAAAGAGATTGACTTGGCATTGCTTTGGAGTGCAAATGACTTTTATACTGAAAAGGATACGATTTGCAGAGGCATCTGCTTTCGCTGCCGCACCCGCCCGGCTTGCTGGGTTTTTCCGGTCAGGAGTGCTATGGGATACACTTGGTCTTAAGTTATATAAGGTGCGTTATCGGGGACACACTAGAGGAGCAGGATCTAAGAAGCGCCAGTTCTTCGACAGAGCCTCCAATGGTGAGGATGATTGGCTGCTGGACACCTTCCCGGTTGCGGCCCTGTAGCGCACCCACACAGATTCAAGACACTGATTGATGCACTGGGCTCAGGACACAAAGGCAGACAGGGGCAGTGCAGGGTACAGAGGAGCCCCTGAGGGGTTATAATCTAAGAGGGAGGGGCACAGGGAAGTATGACAGTAAGACTGACAACATTATACAATGTGACACACTAGGCACCCCAATTACTGCTTTTCCTCAGTCTAAGTGCAGATATACTGGGGATTACTATATAAAACATATCTAAAATGGGGGACACCTTTCACCACAATGTATATAGGCAATGGACACACCCCAAGCCAACCCCTCAATTATGCCAACCATTAAGAATTTATCAAAAATGATTGGTCAAACCCAGAATGGTTGTTTTTCACCATTACTTTTCCTTCATACCGGCTTTTCAAACGCAATGATTACGAGAGAAGATGAAGGTTTTAGTGCAAAATAACACTTATTGTTGTTATATAGACCAAAGAGAGGGACAACAAAGGAGGAAAAGGGTCAGAGGAATTTGGCTCTAAATAAGAGGCAGTCCCTCCAAATGGGAGACAGTTGGGAGGTATGTATAAAAACAGATTCTTTTACTTCTATTGGCAGTATTAAACAAATTATAAATAGAATTCGATTGTTTTGATGTACTTGTATTTCTAGTTTAATCTTTTTTTTTCCGAAAATGTTCACATTCTCAAAAAATCACCAATAAATACCAGCTTCTCATACCTGCTGTTTGGCAAATATTTTATTTTAGTTCTGGGCAGCAAATTTTATTTGATAACATGTAACTCACTTAGCGGGTCAGGTATACTGTAGCTGTCTATGTGATCATGAGATCTTTAAGAGGTAGTGAGGCCCGAGGGAAGACACAAGGAGGTCTCCTGTGTGGCATTAAGAACCAGAATAGATACTAATGAATGCATCTGAGGATATACAAATAAATTAGAAAGGAATTAATTGTTAACATGCAGAGAAACAATACAGTGATGCAATTAAAAATAATATAGAAGAAGTACTGCTTATGAAAATATTACCAAAAGTATTGGGACACCCAGGGTCCGATTTACTCTCCCTGCTGCCCCAAAGCCAGGTTCCGCAATGCACCCCCATCAACGGAGAATGACAACCGGATGGCAGGGGCGGCAGGGTTAGTTTTATTTTTTTATTGTTTCTTTATTTTTTTTTAATCACTTTTTTATGTTTATTTTTAATTTTTTTACTTTTTTAAAAAAATTTTAGCTTATCGTTTACTTTTTTTTAAATAATTTTTTTATCTTATTATTGTTTATTTTTTATAATTATTATTTTTTAATAATTTTTT